CCTCAATGCTCGTCAACGCAGTACCTAACATGATGGTGTGCACAAAAGTGCACATGTATCACGCTGAGAGCAGTCGCGATCGACCTAAAGAGTGGACATTTGGCCTAGCTACTAGACGAATACTGCTGTGACTAGCCTTCAGAGTGTTTTTTTGGTCGATTCTCTGCCCTATTCTTAGCGTTTGTGCGATCGGTCGAAAACTCAGACACTGGCGCCAGAGGCTCATGATCTGGTATCTCTGACGCGAAGCAAGCGGGCGCGCGATTACTGGAAGATCACGGGGTAAGGGGCATGCGCTAGCGAAAGTATGAGCGACTTTGCTAGCTCATGCAAAGAATGCTCGACGGAAACATATCTAGTCTTTACTCTGGTAGAATTTGTCCGCATCGGCCGTCGAGCGTTAAAGCTTGTACTCGCTATTAGCGATTCGATATTGGCTAGAGTTTGTTATATGTGGAGGTGCATCAATTGTTTTTGCATAATGTCCACAGGCTCCAGATTGTAAATCATTCATTGATACTTGTCAAAACATCATGAACTTGCTAAACATAGCCATTTTGTGGACAGATTGTTTCGTCGCTGTAACACTCTTTCAGAAGATCCAGTAGTCCCTTGCGACTCGAATTGAAGAACGGAGACCCCATACTGAGTGGCGGCTCTCCCGATGTAAGTATTTGAATCATTATGATAAAGTGCTTGATCCATTGTCTCACTGTTTCCTTGTGTCCGTATGTTATGTCGCAGGAGTTGAACCATTGATAGAAGATTAAATCCAAGTCCCTCAATGATCAGAACATTGGTAACGTGTAATGAAAATCCTGTATCGACTGAATCCAGCATGACGCTCCCAATTGACTTTGCCATTATCGTTTGTCCATTTGCGACTGTGACAAGTACTGGACGACGAAGCGGACGTTGATGAGTAATGAAGAGCGTCTCGGCAGAACACATGTGTTGTCCACAGCAACTGTCAAGATACCAAGTGTTCGGTCCTGCAATTATCCGAGCAAGGTTAGCATATACTTGGGGTAAAACCATATTTTCAGGTTGCTCGTTGAAGTTTTCTTCCTCGTCATTGTCGAAATCAGATTCTGTTGCTTGAGTTGTTGTAACGCAGTAGAATACTTGTTTCCCTGATGTGGCAGGTGTTGTTGTCGGTGGATTCTGCTTCACGGGTTGCTTGAACTGCTGCGAGTGCTGCTGCCCCCTCCGTTTCCTATCAGATTGAAGCTTGATGCAAAATTTTATACTGTGCCCATCCTTTTTGCAGTAGTGGCAGAAATATTTGACGACGCGTTTCGTAGGCGTTATATAAAAACGGATATTGACTGCTTCTTTTCTATTACGTGCTGATTGCAGGTCAAGATCTTGTTGCTCGGCTTGAAGGATGGAGCAGATCTCTGCTTCCGAAAGATTTGGTTGAAGACGAAGAAGGGATCGACACTGCCGCCATTCTGCTCCAAGACCGGCAAGAAGGACTGTTATAAACATGTCCTTCGGGAAGTATCCGCCGCACTTTTCCAATTGGTCACGAAGTGTTTGAGCCCTGTTAATGTAATCCGAAACATTCTCGTTGCCCTGCATCTGTACAGTTGTCAGTTGTGAGAATTTTACTCACTGAAATTGTGTCATGTGCCATATACAACCCCTTCAAATGTGTCCACGCAGATTCTGCTGGAGTCAAATTGGTGTGAAGCGAGCGTATACCGAGCTCCTCCTTCAGCGACAGATTGCGGATAAGAACGGTGTAAGCGCTGAGTGATGCATGAAGAAAACTTTGTTGTTCCATCTGTGTTCCCGTAACAGGATACGAGTAATCGCCACTGAAGAATGGCCACAATCCAGCGGATTTTGTGAGAAGTTCAAACTCAAAACTCCAGGCGTAGAAGTCAACGCCATTAAAATGTACGGTTGTGTTGATCTGTGTGTTGCTTAAAAGATTCGGTGCTTGAAAGACAGGACCAGTGTGAGTAGTTTGCTGCTGCTGCAGAAACTGAAGTTGCGGTTGTTGTTGCTGTTGCTGCTGTTGTTGCTGAAATTGATGTTGCGCTTGTTGTTGCTTGTTGTTGTTGTGTTGCAGGTGCAGAGGACGAAGTCCCCGGAGGATGCACAGAAGGCAAACCTTGCTGCTGTTGCGGCATCCCAATTGAAGAATAAGCAGGTGGAAAGTTTCCAGCTGTAGGATTTCCTGCTTGACCAGTGTTGACTGTAGGATTTGTAACACCCGTAGGTCCAGTTGTCAAAGAGCCAGATGAAGGTACCGTCGATGGTCCAGTCATGATTGTCGATAGTCGAAATGACAAAAGTCTTGATTCCAGACAGCTCTCATACCATGAAAGAATTTAAAAGGTGGTGCAGGAGACTAAGTATAGAATCTGCAGACACAAGTACTTGAAGTAGAAATTAATACTGGAAGTACGTCCAGTAATAGCTAGTATTAACAAGTTGTAACACCAGAATCAGTGTTACAGCCTTGCGATACTTCAAGACTTAACCAAGGAACTTTTCTAGAATGGTAGACTAGTAAGACAGCGGAAGTCTTAGAACTTGTAAGGTGTTGACCAGAATTTACTGAAGAACAAGTTAATATTTGAAGTTGTACAGGCTACTTTTATATATGCTAGAAGTATCTATTCGGTGATATATATGTTCGAGCTATTTGCGCTATGCGCTCTAACTGCTATTGAAAAGAACGCGACTGTTCGCGTGATTGAAACGGCTTGCTGACGTAACCATCCAGACGAGCGCTATTTGCTGACGTCATTCTACGGATGCTATATACACTGTAACTCAACAATATCTATCGAGATTACTTACATAAATGCTTAAGTACGATGATACCACAACACTCAGTACCCTTCCTAGAGAGATAGAGGATCGACACGGTTATCCCAGTGCCACGACAGTTGAAACCGAAAGCCAAAGAGAGCTCATTGCAGAATGCAATTCATACATATTCATCTTTGGGACATGCACATTTTTTGACTTCAAACGTTTGTTGAAAGACTTCAACGTAAATGGCTAAAACCAATTTCACATGTTATATTCAGTGGTCCCCACCTCAATACGTAAATCCAAAGAGTCAGAAGCCAAAAAGATAATAATTAAATTTACATACACAATCCGTCTGAGTGCTGTGGGAAAATCTTGATAGTTATGATTTAGCTAATTTTTTTACTACCCTCATCCATCATATTTAATAGCCCTGAAATTGCATTTTCAGGGATAGTGTAGTGGACAATCTGCCTAAATAGTTGTGAATAGCCTTACAGCGGGTGTCTATTCATAATGCTCCCTCTTGCGTGCAACACTCATAACGGCAGTGAAACTCGCCGCTAGTGTCCAAAATCCTCCAATGCAGCAAACCGCCACCGCCATCCTTGATGCTTGCATCTGATTCAAGACATGTGTTATCGGGGTTTTCAGTGCAAATTTGCATCCGATTCGCTTCTGTGGGACCGGATGTGTTTTCGTGGTGTCCTGACCTCTCCGTACCAGGCCTCTGGAAGTCAGGGTTATTACACTGCATTGTGAAAGAAAACAGGGCGGAATTTTAACCTAGCCCTGCTTTTGACGCATTCAGAATATTATTCACCCCCCCGAAGCAGCACCTGAAGACCAGATCCGGAAACTCTTGAAAAACAAATTTCGCTTGGGTTTCTATACGAAACGTTTGCTGCACCATTTTGTGTTTCTCGAGTCAGGAAACCCGACGTCAGCTTAGGCAGTGCTAAAAGTTTTTGCCCGCGTGGAGTGTGCCGCGCTTTGGCTGTAGGATCAAGGGAGTACTGTCTACGCACTCAGAAATGGTCAGGGTAGGAAAACAATCTGCCCCCCCCACACCCCCCCCCCCCCCCCCCCCCGCTGCAACTCCCCCATTGTTCCTACGTTGTCGTCGGTCTCCCCTCGGGCGACAAATTCCCTCCCCCCACAACTCCCCACTTTTTTCCACACCCTCCCCATTCCATACCTCTCCGCTGGTACACGTACGGTGTCTGTGTGTTCCTCCCCGATGTATTCTCCGTTCCCAAGGACGCTGCATGTCAGCTCTGTTGCAGCAACAGTGCCAACCCTGCGATAGTTACAGCGTGTCTAAAGTACCCAGCGACATTAGACAAGAACGGATGTCTAAGCACCGAGCTGTAAGCTGTCTGTAAATAGGAGAACACTGAAACTACGACGGAAGTCGGTGGACGTCATTGACATCCGTCGAAATCCTCATCTGAGCACGCTCTCAAATTATGTATAGGACCGACCTTAGAGCTGTTTGAATTGGGAGTCGACGGATGTCATCGACATCCATCGACACACCTTATGTTTCATATCGCTTTCGCATCTGGGATGTCCTTGGGCACACTAGAGTCTAGACGCGCTGTCTACTTTTTCCGGCAACCCTTGTGGGCATGTAAATCCTCCATCCTCGTGCGATATCTGATCATCGTGAATCTGGCCGTGATCGCCCACAGATAGACCAAACCCTCAAGAGCGGCAGCCTTGCTGACGTTGGCTCATGCCAGTGAGAACCGAATCAGGACGCAGGCTGACACGCTCGCAGAGCACCAACACCACACAAACCCACACCGAGCCGCGGGTGATTTTACAAGTGTACGCTCTATGTGGCTGACAACACTCCTCGCTGCAGGCTGCCTGCCAATTGTGGATTCCACAACTCGTTTTAGCGAGGGAGGGGGGGGGTGGGTGGTTGGGTAATGCCACATGACCGTATCCTCGTACAGTTTGCTTTCTGTCTTGTACAGTTCTCGAAGTTTTGCACCGCACTAAAACGTTCTAGAACGTCAAATCGCTTCGAATCGCGATCAGTCCTCGCATTCTGTGTCCTCAGGGTCACATCAGAACGAACTTCGCGCGGAATCCTCGAGTTGTGTGGGCTGGTCCTTGGGGAAATTTACAGTACATGCACGTAATCGGCAAGCCCCTGGGAATTGTAATAGGGAAGTCCTATGCTCCTGCTTCATCGTCGTTGAGCCCGCGTCCTTCCTCATCACCACTTGTACTGGAAAAAAGGGATTGCAGTTCGCCTCCACCAGTCTCTCGGGCACACGTCGCTAAACGACTCCCTTTACATCCAGAGCAGCGACTTCTGGAGTCGCCAGATAACTGATGATCTGTCAATTCCCACTTCTCCAACTTAGTCGCTGTAGCATGTTAAAAAGCCGGCAATTTTTTTAGGATCGCCAAATTTTATACATCGAAGTAGTCGTGCATCCCAGCAGCCGTATGAAATTGTGATTTTTTTTAACTTTTTTTTTCAAATATTATTTGTAAGATTGGTTGTAGGATTTCTTAATCGGCGGCTCACGACTAGTAGTGCTGCGATGATGGCGGATTGCGCCGCGGCCTTCAGTTTCCCGTCTCCGCATGGCGCGCCGCTTGCCACGCGAGGCAGAACTAGTAGGGGCGGTTTCGTGGTGGGGAGTGAGAAGACGGCGCCGCCCATTTCTGAGGTGACTTTTGAGTTGGCTCAACTTGATTCGACATTTGAAGAGACACCTCGATTCAATGACGAGGCGACGTTGAAGGGCACCGACAGCTTCGTCCCTGAATTCACGGACCCTGAGACTGTTGAAATCTCTTCGCCAATCTTTGCGCCGGCCGCGCCAGTCTCCGCGCCAGTCTCCGCACCAGTCTCCGCACCAGTCTCCGCGCCAGTCTCCGAGCTAGCAGCTATCGACCCGGAAAAGCTGGAAGCCTGCCAGCAGGAGATCCTCTTCTCCGTCACCTACCAGCGCAGAGGCGAATCGCAGCACGACACGTGTCCAGCAGCGGGAATTGCGCCGCATCAGCCGGACGGGGGAGTGGCTTGTGTCGTCACGACGGCCTCCTCGCTTCACTGCCGCGCCCGCGGGAGCAAATCTTCCGCCGGGAGCCGTCTCCCACCCACCTCGCCGTTACCTTACCCTCCGCGCCGGCCGCAGTTAGTAGTAACGGCGTCTCCGTCGACCTTGGCATCGTCGGCTATGGACTCCATATCGGATATCCATACCTTTTCGAGGACTCCTCGGAGTACAAGTGTTAGTAGCGGGGACGAATCTCCGCGAATGGCGCCTCCTCCCTTCCCCAAGTCCATCACATGCCCGCCGCGTTCCGCGCCGTCAATCACTGCGGCTACGGCGGCCGCCGCGGCCGCTTCTGCGCCCGGCGCTTTCGACCCGATGTCGCGGGAATCCAGCGTTGGCTCCGCTTCCGCCGGTCTAGGCGGGTTTCTGCCTTCCCCTGTCGCCGCTGGCGCCGGTGCGAAGCCGCCCTTCTCCGCCGCTCGCGCACCTCCCGCCGTTGGCACGCGTCCCGCGGGGAGCGACTCGGAGCCCCTCTTCGTCAGATTCTCCCGCGCCGCGTCGTGCGAGAGCCTGCTCTCCTTGCAATCCGCTCCGCCCGTTAGAAGCGCCCAACCCGCGTCGTGCGAGAGCCTGCTCTCTCTCCAAGCCGTTCCTCCGCCCCGTCAAGGGGCCGCCGCCGTTACGCGCGCGGCGGAAGGCGTTCTTCCGCAGCCGAGAGAATCATCCGCCGCCGCCGCCGCCGCCACAGCAACAACCTCGCGCGGCCCTTCGCTGGCTCCGACTGCCTCCCCCGCCGCTGCTTCCGCAGCGGTGGTTTTTCGGGTAAGCCGCGGCGGCCGGCCGCGGCCGGATTTCGATGCGGCCCTTTCGGCGCCTTCCCCGTCGCATTCACCGCCGCGTACGACGCGTTTGGCGCCGCGTTTTCCGGCGGGGGTGATGGCGCAAGTGGTGCGGCAGTCGCAGTGCGCGCAGCTCGTCGTGCGGCCCGCCGATGGAGCCGTGATGTGCGCCAGTCGAGGCGCGGAGAAGGTGCTTCGCGCTCGGAAGGGTCCGCTGGAGGGGGTGAGTTGAGTGTCGCGTGCAAGCAAGGCGTATCTTTTAGGGCGTGTAACCTACGGTTCCGGAACTGAGTTCCGTCACAGTTTTGGTGTGGTGACAGATTTCGCCACAACTCGCACGAAATTTCGCCAAGCCTGTTGCGAAGGATTCTTCAGTTTCGAAACTCGATGTCCCAGCGACGTCCAGACGCCAGTTTTGAACGGTCGTCCGGACGGCCGTTCGAGAATCTCCCTCCAGTTCTGTGCGAAAAGAACATGCTAGGCCTTCAGGGGGAAATGACACCAAGTCAACGATCGAATTTGCTCGCGCGCCTGACCCGCCAATCGCGAAAGTGACAAAACAAAATGTGTGCTGTCGTCATGCCCAGCGTGTGATTGGCTTACGAGGGGTTGGGTTTCGTTTCTTCGCATATTACTTTTCGCACGTCGTTCAAAAGTTTGAATGATGGAACATTCAGTTTCGAAACTCGATGTTCCACTGACGGACAGCAATCATAGTTGAGATTCGAAAGTCGATGTTCCAGCGACGAACGGAACTCGTGTATATCGAGTTCGGAACTGAGTTCCGGAACTAGGCCGACGAAACCGTAGGCTACACGCCCTTAGGCGCCTCAAAGCGCCAGCGCTCTTCACAGTTAGTGCTTTGCTCGCTTGCGCGCAGTTAAAGCGCGACTGGAGGGGGTGAGTGAGTGGTTGAGTGAGCGCACGATGTCTGAGTTTCTTCCCCCACCCCTCTACCCTTTTCCTCCATCCCCCCCTCCCCCCCCTCCCCCTCCTTCCTCCTCCTCCCCTCCTCCTCCTCCCTCCCCTTCCATATCTCCCCCTACTCTGACCACCCAGCTGCCTTCCTGTCCCCCGCTTTTGTCTCATCACTTACACTCACTCCCCCCGCCCACTTGCTCTTGCACCCTCCTTGCTTCGTCGCTCCGCCACTCCCCCCCTTCGTCCTCTTCCTCTTCCCCAGAGCTCCTTTCCTGAAATGGCGGGCGATGCTCTGCCTCTGGACACGTGGCGGCACCTCGTTGGGCAGCTGGAGAGCCGCAGCGTGGATGTGGTAACCCTATCTCTGCCGCTGCTGCGTTACAGCGATGGGCACGGCACAGCAGCACCATCGGCAGAATCAGCATCAACACCAGCAGCACCAGAACCACAAGCAGCAGCAGTAGAAGCACCAGCACCATCATCTTCACCAGCAGCAGCAGCAGCAGCAGCAGCAGCAGTAGCAGCACCACCAACACCAGCAGCAGCAACAGCAGCAGCACCGGCAGCACCACCAGCTACCCTCCCGCCGGCCCTCAAGCCTGCAGTGTCAGCGCTTAGAAACGTACTTTCTAAGACAGGTACCCCTGTGGCCGGCGCCCAGTGGATTTACCGGTGGATGGTGAGCCGGGAGAAGGGGGGGGAAGGGAAGGGGAAGGGGGCGGGGAGAGGAGAGAGGGGAGAGGTGTGTGAGGGGAGCGAGCAGCAGGGGGGGCATAAAGGGCATTCGAGGCAGCAGCAGCAGCAGCAGCAGCAGCAGCAGCAGCAGCAGCAGCAGCAGCAGCAGCAGCAGCAGTGGGAGGAGGTGGAGGACCTGGAGGGAGACGTGGAGGGAGACGTGGAAGGAGAAGGAAACGAGGAGCAGCAACAGCAGCAGCTGGAGCAGCAGCAATTGCAGGGGCAGGAACAGGCGCAGGAGCAGGGGCAGCGGGAGGAGAGAGAAGGGTTGGTGCATGTGTGCATTCAGTTGTTTGACATCGGGCCAGCTAAGGACTTGGTGGTAACAGGTGGGCTCACTTTCCCCTTGCTCTCTTCCGTCTCTCTGCACTCTTTTCCCCTGAGTCTCCTTCGTCTCTCAGCTCTTTCTCTCGCTCACCTCACTGTCACGCCTTGTGAGATCATCGCTCTTTTCCCTTCCCTCACCCCTTGGTGATTTTTGAGTCGACTAAAAAATCACTCAAAAATCACCTGGTGATTTTTGAGTCGACTCAAAAGTCTCTCAGCTCTTTCTCTCGCTCACCTCACTGTCACGCCTTGTGATATCATCACCCTTTTCCCATCCCTCCCCACTTCCTCCGCCATTTCTTCGCCATTGTTTTCATATCTTCACCCTCATCCTCATCCTCATCCTCATCCTCATCCTCATCCTCATCCTGTGTTGAGACCTCTCAGAGCTGGCCTTGCACTCCCATGAAATCGCGGTGACTCTCCTGAGTGGACTCAAAAGTCACCTCGTTACAGTCGAATCAAAAGTCACCTCGTTACAGTCGACTCAAAAGTCATCTCGTTACAGTCGACTCAAAAGTCACCTCGTTACAGTCGACTCAAAAGTCACCTCGTTACAGTCGACTCAAAAGTCACCTCGTTACAGTCGACTCAAAAGTCATCTCGTTACAGTCGACTCAAAAGTCACCTCGTTACAGTCGACTCAAAAGTCACCTCGTTACAGTCGACTCAAAAGTCACCTCGTTACAGTCGACTCAAAAGTCACCTCGTTACAGTCGACTCAAAAGTCACCTCGTTACAGTCGACTCAAAAGTCACCTCGTTACAGTTGACTCAAAAGTCACCTCGTTACAGTCGACTCAAAAGTCACCTCGTTACAGTCGACTCAAAAGTCACCTCGTTACACTGCCACACGACACATTTTGAAACCTCATAACCTGCCTCGCACTCTCATGATCTCATCCCTCCTCTCATCCTTCCGTCTCTCATCCCTCCTTCTCTCATCTTCCCTTCCAGTCTTGACACCACCTGAGGGCCCCTCACGATTTTCTGAGCCATCACCCTGGCACTGCTCCAAAGCTAAGCCCGAGGCTTGGCAGCAGGCCCAAGCCAACCGACAGACCTTTACGCAAGAAGCCAAGAGCCTCAGCACTTGTAGCAATGATGCTGACGCTCCACTGCTGCTGACAAGCCCGACCAAACCTCCCGCCAAGCCTCAACTTCGGGCTCGGAAGCATCCCGCGCCAGCGAAAGGCCAACCTGCAGCTCGAGAAATCACATCCTCTGCTGTTGCTGCCAGCTCAGCAGAGCGATCTGCCAGCTCAGGAGGCATAACAGCCAGCTCAGCAAGCCAGCCTGCCAGCTCAGCAGCAGATGGTGCAGAGAGGAACGAAGGAGCGAGCAAGCCGCAGCAGCAAGTGTACTCTACAATCCACATACCCTTTGCTTCTATGCCTACCCATCCTCTCCTTTCCGCCCTCTCACAAACCAGACCTCCCGCTGCCAAGCCTGCGTCCCAAAGCAAAGGCGCAGGCTCGGTAGAGGGCTGGTTCCGTAGCCTGTACAGCAGCGGTAGGAGAAAAAAGGCACAGCAGAGCGTTCTCCCGATCCTGAACCGCCGGGAAGGCTCGGGACGAAGCAACTGGGGGGGCTTGGCGTTGGGCGGTGGGGTAGGAAGGGATGGGGAGGGTCGGCATGGGGAGACCATAGCTGAGATTGCGAACGCTGCTAAGGCTGCTTCGGCTGTTGCTGCTTCGTCGACTGCTGCTGCTGTTGCTGCTGCTGCAGCTGCTGTTAATGCTGCTGCTGATGAGAGCACCCTTACTGATTGCGCCTTTTCTGATAGCACCCTTTCTGATGGCACCCTTGCTGCCATTCCTTCTGCTGCTGCCAAGCTGGCTCCGCTTTCTCTCTCTCCGTCTGCTCCTGTCTCTACCTCTGCCACTTCCCCTATCTCTCTCTCTCCCTCTGCCTCCGCCTATGTCCCTTCCTTCGCCACTGCCTCTCCCTCTCCCTCTGCGTCCGCCTTTGCCCCTGAGTCCGCCTCAGTTCCTATTCTTGCCACCTCTACTTCTCCTCCTCCTCCTCCTCCTCCTCGTTCTCTCCCTCCTCCGTCCCCATCCGCTCCTCCTATCCTCACCCCATCCAAGTCCTCCTCGTGTTTAGAGGCGGCTCAAAGCACTCGCGCTCTTCTAGCCCCCTCGGGATGCTACTCTGAGCTGCGCAAGGGCAAGCTGAGCACATGGGACGTGGCGGTGGCGGTGGGTGCAAACGGGGGGGCGAAGGCAGGCAGCGAGGAGGAGCGCAGTGACACGGACGCGCAAGAGGAAACGAGGGAGAAGGCGGGGGAGAAAGTGGGGGAGAAGGAGAAGGAGAGGGAGAATGAGAGGGAGCAGCAGCCGTTGGGGCTGCGGCGCATTCGAGTGGATCCGTCTCAGAAGCCCCGGGGTGCATCAGAGACGTGGCTGCTGCACGACTTTAAGGAGCGCCCGGGCAACCAGTTCAAGTTCCGCATGCTCTTTGAGCTCTCCTCGGTGAGTCGGTTTTTGCGCACCTCCTCTATTAGTGTATGCGTGGATGCTTGGGTGTTTGGGCTGCTTGCTTGCGTGAGTGGGTTGGCGTGGGTAACCCCTTCCTTACCCAGAAGCCGGGGGGGGGACGTCGGAGATGTGGCTGCGGCACGACTTTAAAGAGCGGCTGGGCAACCAGAATGATCAAGTCGAGAAGCAAGGACCACCTGATTGCCCGCACAACCCAGCCGCTCCCCCTTCCCCCCTGGTTCCCACTCTTTCGCCCTTTTCGTCTCCTCCTGCACCGCACTCCCTCTCCCCAGGACCCCAAGATGCTCCTGACCAAGGACGAGGTGACTTTTGAGTCGACTCAAAAGTCACCTCACCCCAGGACCCCAAGATGCTCCTGACCAAGGACGAGGTGACTTTTGAGTCGACTCAAAAGTCACCTCACCCCAGGACCCCAAGATGCTCCTGACCAAGGACGAGGTGACTTTTGAGTCGACTCAAAAGTCACCTCACCCCAGGACCCCAAGATGCTCCTGACCAAGGACGAGGTGACTTTTGAGTCGACTCAAAAGTCACCTCACCCCAGGACCCCAAGATGCTCCTGACCAAGGACGAGGTGACTTTTGAGTCGACTCAAAAGTCACCTCACCCCAGGACCCCAAGATGCTCCTGACCAAGGACGAGGTGACTTTTGAGTCGACTCAAAAGTCACCTCACCCCAGGACCCCAAGATGCTCCTGACCAAGGACGAGGTGACTTTTGAGTCGACTCAAAAGTCACCTCACCCCAGGACCCCAAGATGCTCCTGACCAAGGACGAGGTGACTTTTGAGTCGACTCAAAAGTCACCTCACCCCAGGACCCCAAGATGCTCCCGACCAAGGACGGCCGCCTGCTGGACGGCAGCCATGCAGCCCACTACAGCCCTGCTTGCTACCCTGAACGCTCAATCGCCCCCTCCCGTCCCTGCTTACTTCCCCACCCCAGGACCCCAAGATGCTCCTGACCAAGGACGGTCGTCTGCTGGACTGCAACCAGGCTACTGTCCGAATGATCAAATCGCGCTCCAAGGACCACCTGATTGGCCGCACCATCCAGTCGCTATCCCCGCTGCTACAGCCGGGGTCAGGGCAGCCCGCTACAGCCCTGCAAGCGATACTTGATGAGCTGGCAGAGAGCAATGCTGTCAGCAATGCAGGCACCAACGCCGGCAGCAATGCTGCCGGTGGAAATACCAGCAACACCGGCAGCGGCAGCAGTAGCAGCAGCAGCAGCAGCAGCAGCAGCAGCAGTAGTAGCAGTAGCAGCAGCAGTAGCAGCAGCAGAAGTAGTAGCACAAAAAGCAGCAGCATCAGCAGCAGCACCACCACCAGCACCAGCAGCGGGTCGTGCGACCTGCGTCGGTTCGAGTGGGTGTTTCAAGACGACGAGGGCGGCATGCTGCCAGTGGAAGCCCTCTGCCGACTCGTCGACCTCGTAGGGCCAACCGCGCAGGGAGGCGCAGACTCAGGCCAAGCACAGTCGCAGTCACAGTCCCCCTCGTCTCACTCCCACTCCTCGCAATCACAGTCGTTGCAGTCACACTCGCCCAAGTCCCCTTCCTCCCAGACCCAGTCCTCTTCTGCTGCCCCCCCCTCCTCCTCCTCCTCCTCCTCCGCCGCCTCGTCCGCCTTGTCGCACGCGGCGGTGTATCTGATGGTGTGGCACGACCTCACCGAGGTGAAGCGGAAGGAGGCCTCTCTGGAAAGAGCCAAGCAGGAGGCGGAGCGCGCCAGGCAGGCGGCTGAGAGGGCGAGCCTCTCAAAGACGCAGTTCCTGGCCAACATGAGCCACGAGATCCGCACGCCCATGAACGGTAAGCGAGCCTCTCAGCCCCACCCCTCCCAGCTCCCTCTCACCGCTCCCACGGCTCTGAGTGAAGAGCAGAGGATGCTGGCTGAAACCATCCGGTCCTTGAGTGAAGGGCTGCTGCAGATCCTCTCGGGCAGGTCCTTGATGTGAGCCGTCTTGTGTCTTCCCCTCTTTACCGCCCTTGTGCCCACAGGTCTCATAGGCGTGGCGGACCTGCCCTTGGACATGGCTCTGAGCGAGGAGCAGAGGATCTTGCAGAGACGATCTGGACGTCCAGTGAGGGGCTGGCTGTTGCAGATCCTCTCAGGCATCCTCAACCCGAGTGAGATGGAGAATCTCCCTCACCCCCTCACCCCCTCCGCACCCCCCTTCGTTCAGGTGCGATTGGAGTGGAGTGGCAGATCTGCTACTAGACACGGCTCTGAGCGACGAGCAGCGCATGCTGGCTGAAACGATCCGGTCGTCCAGTGAGGGGCTGCTGCAGATCCTGTCGGACATCCTCGATCTGAGCCGTCCTCGTGCCTTTCCATCTGTACTGCCCTCCTATGCCGGCAGGTGTAATAGGCGCGTGGATGTGTTTTGTTTCTGAGAATTCTCAAAAACAAAACTCGTCCTTGTGCCATTCCGTCTGTACCGCCCTCCTATCGTCAGAGCAGAGACGTCATAGCACAGTGAGGAGCAGAGCAGAGGATCCTGGCAGAGACGATCCGGTCTTCGAGTGGCGGACTTACTGCTAGACACGGCCCTAAGTGAAGAGCAGAGGATGCTCAGAGACCATCCGGTCGTCCAGTGAGGGGCTGCTCTCAGACATCCTCGATCTGAGCACGATCGAGAGCCTTACCACCACCTCTTCCCTCTTGCTGCCGCCTCATCCCCCCCTGCCTCCCCGCCTCCCGTCCTTCAGGCGTCATCGGCGTGGCAGATCTCTTATTGGACACGGCGCTGAGTGAAGAGCAGAGGATGCTGGCTGAAACGATCCGGTCGTCCAGTGAGGGGCTGCTGCAGATTCTCTCGGACATCCTCGACCTGAGCAAGATCGAGAGCGACAAGATGGAGCTCGAGGCTGTGCAGCTCAACGCCAGGCAGCACCTCTCGAGTTCACTCTCTCTGTTTCGAATGGCCGTTCAAGACAAGGGGCTACAGGTATGTGGTAGAGGGGCGAAAAAAGGAGGGGGGGAGAGGGGAGGAGGGGAGGGGATGGGGTTAAAGGTACGTACTGCATTCTGTTTTCGAACTGAGCAAGATCGAGAGCGACAAGATGGAGCTCGGGGCTGTGAGGCTCGACGAACCTGACCAGTTCGCTCTCTCTGTTCTGGATGGCCGTGCAAGACAAGGGGCTACAGGTACGGGAAAGGAAGAAGCAGGGGGGGGGGGGTGTATAGAGGTACATACAGAGTGCATTGCTTCCTCGACCTGAGCAAGATCGAGAGCGACAAGATGGAGCTCGAGGCTGTGAGTCTCGACGCGAGGCAGCACCTTACGAGCTCACTCTCTCTCTCTTCCGCATGGCTGTGCAAGAACAGGGATTGGTGAGGTGGGTTGCACTTGGGTTCTAGTTGTTGGTACGTCAAGGGGGCACATAGGGGCAGAGCAGAGGCTGCAAGCCCGGGTGCAAGGAGGCAGCAGCAGCACCTCTTTCTGCTCGACTCCATCTCGCTCTCTTCCTCTAGTCTCCAACGCCCTCAAGTTCACCTCTCGCCCTCAAGTTCACCTCTCACCCACCACCACAGCTGCACTGCATCTCGCTGTCTCTCCCTCGCCCCCTCCCTCGCCCCGTCCCTCGCCCCCTCCCTCGCCCTCTCTCCCTTGCAGCTCAACGTGCGAGTGGCCTCGGACTTCCTCCACATCGTGACAGCAGACGTCGTCCGGCTCCGGCAGGTGCTGCTGAACCTAGTCTCGAACGCCCTTAAGTTCACCGTTCACCCACCACGGCTGCATCTCCGTCTCCCTCTCCTTCTCCCACTCATGCTCCCGCTCCCTTGCAGCTGAACGTGCGAGTGGCCCCGGACGTGCCCCACATGGTCACTGCCGATGCAGTGCGCTTACGGCAAGTGCTGCTGAACCTGGTGTCGAACGCCCTCAAGTTCACCCACCACGGCTGCATCTCCGTCTCCCTCTCTCGGGTCCACTCCTGCCCCGGCTGCTGCTGCTGCCACCCCCCCAAGGACGAGCAGAGTGGGGCCAAGGAGGAGGGGGGGGAGGGGGGGAAGGGGGGAGAGGGGGGAGAGAGCGGAGGCGCAAAAGCGGAAAGAACGGAGGGGAGGAAGGATGAACAACGAGGGGAGAAGAGAGAGGAGGCGGGAGGCGAGGAGGAAGCGTCAAGAGTGGTGCTGCAGTACACAGTGGCGGACACGGGGATAGGGATCTCGGCAGAGGGCCAGAGCCGCCTCTTCCAGGCGTTCACCCAGGCGGACAGCAGCACGTGCCGGCGGTTTGGCGGGACGGGTCTTGGATTGGCCATATGCCGGGCGCTGGTGACACTGATGGGAGGAACGATCAAGCTGACGAGCCAGGAAGGCCAGGTGAGGCACTGCTTAAAGCACGTCAAGGCACCACGGGGCACATGCACGTTCACCCAGGCCACCAGGCGGACAGCAGCACGAGCAGGGGATTCGGAGGCACGGGGCTGGGGCTGGCGATATGCCGCGCCAGTGTCACCCTTATGGGCGGGACGATCAAGCTGACGAGCAGTTAAGGACAGGTGAGGCGTTGTTTGAATCACCTCAAGGCGTACTTGCTGTAGAGGGCCAGAGCCGGTTGTTCCAAGCATTCACCCGGGCGGACAGCAGCACTTGCCGGTGGTTTGGTGGCACGGGGCCGGGGCTGGCGATCTGCCGCGCGCTGGTCGCCCTTATGGGCGGGACGATCGAGATGACGCGCAGTGAACAACAGGTGAGGCGTTGTTTGAAGCACCTTAATGCGTACTAGCGGCAGCGAGGCAGAGCTGGCTGTTCCATACGATCACCCAGGCGGACAGCAGCACGTGCAGACAGTTCGGATGGACGACTGGGCTTTTTTAAGACGGATGGACGACGGGGCTTTTTTTGAGACGGATGGACGACTGGGATTTTTTTGAGACGGATGGACGACTGGGCTTTTTGAATTCTCAAAAGCACGTGCAGACGGTTCAGATGGACTGGGCTGCAGCTGGCGACTGAGGAAATGCTCTTTTCTTCCCCCATCCGCCGCCCTTCATCCACCTCCCTTCCCTCGTCAGGGCTCAACCTTTTCGTTCACAGTGTGTGTGGGAGCACTCAGCAACAGCCCCGGTGGAACTGGCTCGGCTGCCGAGCCTGTCGAGTACGTCTGGAGCCGAACCTCCAGCTACAGCAGCAGCCTAAGTGGCTACATTCGCAGCACCAGCAGCACGGGGACGGATGACAGGAAGAGGTGTGACAATAAAGAGAGTGACTCTGAGCAAGTTGAAGGCAGAAGATGCTGTGGGAATGAAAGCAAGTGTTCAGTTGGGGAGAGAATAACGGAGGAAATAGAGGAGAGAATAGAAGAGAGAATAGAAGAGAGAGTAGAAGAGAGAATAGAAGAGAGAATAGAAGAGAGAATTGAGGAGAGAAGTGAAGAGAGAAGAGATGTGCTTAAGGGAGAATTCGGTGTGCAGATAACCACAGTAACCATAGGGGAGCAGATGTTGGAGGGAAATGAGTGCAAGGAGCAAGTTGAGCTACCAAACGAAGCACTCTATAACGGGGTCAAGAGCAGGGACGAGGGAGGTGTTTCAGGTGAAGGGTGCAGGCGGGATGGGCAAGAGGAGCAGCAGCAAGCGACGGGCACAGATGAGACGGATGAGAATGCACGCAGGGGTCCCGTTCGCCCTCGTGGCAGTGTAGGTTTGCCCAATAAGTCGCCAGTAGGAGCAGCAGTAGGAGCAGCAGCAGGAGCAGCAGCAGGAGCAGCAGCAGGAGCACCACGGCAGGCGATCAGTGTTAGCTTCTCGGAAGGGGACCTGCCGGTGATGTGTGCCCTAGGGGGCAGCAGTGGCACCAGCCTGGTGACAGAGAGGAGAGGCACTGGTCTCTCTGCAACCGCGAGAGCTAGTGCTGGCTCTGCTGCTGTGTCCCCCTATCTGTCCTCCTCTGGGCAGCACCCCAACAGCATTCCTTCTGCACCAGCAGCACCAGCAGAAGCAGGGGAGAGCAGCAAATTACAGCTTGCTAAGGAGTGCAGTTTACGCGTGCTAGCAGCAGAGGATAGTGCGTTAAGGGCGCAAGCAACAGCACCAGCAGCAGCAGCAGCAGCAGGAGCAGCAAAGCAGCGCACATTGAGTGTGCTGGTGGCGGAGGACAATGCGGTGAACCAGCTCGTGGTCACGCGCATGCTCACGCGCCTGGGGCTGGCCTGCCGTGTTGTCGATAACGGGGCCATGGCTGTGGACGCCTGCCGGCAGGAGCGCTTCGACCTCGTGCTCATGGTGAGTGGTGTGTGTGTGTGTGTGTGTGTGTGTGTGTGTGTGTGTGTGTGTGTGTGTGTGTGTGTGTGTGTGTGTGCGCGTGTGTGTGTGTGTGTGTGAGTGTGTGTGTGTGTGTGTGTGTGTGTGTGTGTGTGTGGACATGTGCTCGTGTGTTTGTGAGAGAGAGAGTGTGAATGTGTTGAGGCGGTTGGGGCTATCGTGTCGTGTGTGGTGGACAACGGGGTCATGGGTGTGGGAGCTGGTAGGCAGGGGCGCTTTGACCTCGTGCTCATGGTGAGAATCACATCTGGGGATGTGTGCTGTGGATGTGTGCTTTTGTGCAGGAGAGGGCAAAACAGATGAACATTAAAACATTCTGCTTCTTCCTTGCTCACTCTCTGGCCCAAACATTGTAACGAGGTGACCTTTGAGTCGACTCAAAAGTCATCTCTGGCCCTTGCAATGCATCGCAGGTTTGCCACATGCCTGAAGTAGACAAACGCATGTCTGATATTTTCTTCTTCTTTCTCTAAGTTCACTTAATATTTTCCGTCTTCTCTGACATTTCCTCTCACCTACCAGGACTGCCACATCCTTGAGTTGGACGGGCTGGAAGGCACTAGAAGAATCCGGCAGATGGAGGCAGAGAGAAGCCGGGAGCACTCACTACTCAGGAGGAGCGCAACTGGATGTGTACTCATGTAACCCCTGTTCCCCGCACCCTCACAGGACTGCCACATGCCTCAGATGGACGGGCTGGAAGCCACTAGAAGGATCCGACAGATGGAGGCGGGAAGGAGCCAGGAGCATTTCACAGGGAGGAGCGCGGATGACAATCAAAGCAGTAGCTTGGGCGGGAGCAGCAGTTGTGAGAGCAGTGGTGAGAGCAGTGGTGGCAGCATCGTGGAGTGCAATGATATGAGCACACTGCGAAGCCGTAGCGGCGTAAGTGCACTTGCGCCGACGTTTATTGTCGCGCTGACTGCAAGTGCGTTTGATTTCGAGCGGGAGGCGTGCTTTTCGGCTGGGATGAACCACTTCCTTACCAAGCCGATCCGGCCTAAGGACCTTCAAGGTTTGATAAACTTGCTACAGCTTCCTCTACGAGGAATGGAATGAATGGTCCTAGCTAGTGTAAAGCTCCCGTTGATTTTTTATTATTATTTTAGGATGTCCACTTGTCCTAGTATATAATCGTTTTCACTTACAACTAATGAGAACATAGCTTCAGCTATGTACACTTTGTTACAGAGCTTCATACTCTCTATAGCGGAGCTTCCAGAGACGAAAGGGGTTGTTTAGCTGCTGATTTCAGGGCGTGTCTACCCTCAGTTCCAACGCCCAGCCCGAGCGTTTCGGGAGCTCGTTTCGCCTTCGGTTACCATCAACGTTTACCTAAGCCTGCCATGGGTACATTGTCAGCGTAGTGTCAGGTAGACACTTTTACTAATTGGGTAAAATTCTCCCAGCGTCAAGACGCGTACGACGTCTCGCATTCTGTTCCCAGTGGGGGACAAACCTCGAAACTGTCCGATTAAACAGGGCTCGAGAAATTTGGCTTCAGTAGGGGAAACCTTGATTTTGGCCCAACACCGAACTTTTCGCGAGTCCTCGAAGTCATCCAGCCCTCAACAAGGACTCTCGAAAAGCTCGATGATTTTAGCAAGCAATACGTAACTCCTACATCGTCTGATATGCCTCTCGTTTCGTCACTTCCTAACCCAGCGTCGCTCCCGCAATGCCCTCTAGTCGCCATTACTGGCTGCTGCTCCTAGCCGCCTTAGCAGCGCTCGCCTGCTGCTGGTGGGTAATTCTCTTTCCCCTCGCGCTCTCCGCTCCGATCGAATCAGGTCAGGCCCACGCTGTGTTACAGGACTCGCGATACGCTAACGAATTGTCGCGAACCTCGCTGTATTCGCACAGTTCGTTACAGCCGAAAGGACGACAGGAGGAGGAGGGAGGGGAGGAGGTGGGAGGGGGGAAGGAGGGGGGGATTTTGCGGAGATCTGACGGCGGAGGAGGAAGGATCGAGGGTCCACGTCAGCAGCACTGCATCGTCATCGACGTGGGAAGCACGGGCACGCGTTTGTACGTGTACGAGTGGACAGAAGACGGAGGAACCCCATGGAGAGACGAATCGAGAGACCACAGCATTCAGAGCGCCAGGCTCGCGGAATTCGGCAAATATGGGGAGAAATTCAATGGCAGCGGAAACGCAGGGAACTCAGGGATGGGCCTCATGACTCTTCCCGTCATTCGGCAGCACGAGCAGAAGGTTCAGCAAGAACCGTTCAGATTTGATGTTCGGCAAAATCAACAGCAGCAGCAGCAGAAGCAGGGCCGACGAATAGGAGATTTCCAAACACAGCAGCAGCAGCAGCAGCAGCAGCAGCAGCAGCAGCAGCAGCAGAAGCGGGCGTACAACCGCAAGGAAACCGAACCGGGGCTTGACAAGTTCCTAAACGACCCCCGCGGCCTGCGCGAACGCGCCCTCGCCCCGCTCCTCGACTGGGCGCTGCAAGCCATCCTGGACCCCGCCGCCCGTGCCGCCACCCCGGTCTTTCTCTTCGCTACAGCCGGATTGAGGAAGCTTCCGGCGAGTGAGTCTCGGTGGGTGTTGGAGGAGGTCAGGGATGTGTTGGAGGGGTCGGGGTTTGCGTTTAAGAGAGAGTGGGCGAGGATTATCTCGGGTGTGGATGAGGCGGTTTATGGGTGGATTGCGCTTAATTATGTGGAGGGACGGTTTGGAGGAGTGGAGAGGGGTGAGAGGAGAGGGGAGAGGGGAGGGGAGGAAAGGGAGGGTTTGGAGACTGGCTCGGAGTCAAGTCGAAAAGAAGGGGAGGGTGGAGGGGAAGGGGAAGAGGGGGAGGGGAGGAGGCGGGGAGTGGGGGAGTCTCTGAGAAGTGCTGCAGGGGGGAAGGGGAGGGTGCAGGAGCAGGGTGAGGGAGAGGGCGAGGGAGAGGGAGAGAGAGAGGGAGAGAGTGAGGGAGAGAGTGAGGGAGAGGGAGAGGGAGAGAGAGAGGGAGGGAAGCAGGACGAGAGAGCAGGACAGGGAGACGTGGAAGGGATGGATTCGCATCTCCAGGAGGGCGCAGGGAACGCGGAGAGGAAGCTGCTGCAGCAGGCACGGCGGGAAGGGGAGCAGCAAGCGGAGCAGGCGGAGAGGGAGGTAAAGGGGCTGGAGGGTTTGCTCGAGGTGAGAATAGGGGTGCCTGCCGAGGGAACGGGGAAGGCGGAGGAGGGGGAGAGAGAGCAGGGGAAAGGGCTGGGGGGTTTGCAAGGAGTCGGAAAGGGATTGCTTGTCGAGGGAGAGAGGAAGGCGGAGGAGGAGAGAGAGGAAGGGAAAGAGGTGCAGGGACGGTTGACAGGACAGGAGGGGGAGCAGGAGAGGGGCAGCGGAGCGGTGGGGGAAGTTGAGAGAGAGGCAGAGAGTGAGGGAGAAGAGGAGGAAGCGGCAAGGCGGCGGAGGGAGGAGGAGGAAGAGGAGGAGAGAAGGAAGGGAAAGGTTGGGAGTGCTGAGGGGAAAGTGGGGTTAGCAAAGGTGGTGGATAATGCAGCAGGCGAAGAGGAGAGAAGGGGATTGAGAGTGGAAGGATGGGAAAAGGGTGAAGGGCAGGGGGATGCGGTGGGGAGAAGAAGAGCGCAGGAAGGAATGGAGGTGGGCGAGGACGGGGAAGGCCCGGATGAGGAAAGGGAGAGGGAGAGGGAGGAGGAGAGGGAGGAGGAGAGGGAGGAGGAGAGGGATGAGGAGAGGGAGGAGGAGAGGGACACGGATAGGGTAAAGGAGAGGGAGGTTACGGGAGACGAGATCTTAAAAAAAGAATCGGTTGAGAGGGATGGAGAGGGAAGGACGAGGGAACAGGTTGAAGGAGCAGGATGGAGAGGGACAGAAAAGGCTGCAGTAGAGGGAGCAACGGAGACAGCAGATCAGAGAGCCTCCATAAGAGTAGCAGGGGGAGCAGGGGGAGCAGGGGGAGCAGGAGGAGAGGAGGGAAATGACTTTTCAGACGATACGGGGGAGGAGACGATAGGGACTCTGGACCTAGGCGGATCCAGCCTGGAAGTCACCTTCATGCCACGTGCCACACCCCCATTGGCCGCCACTTCGACCCCAGCACGGTACATAGCCAACGTGTCACTGGGTGGGCGGCAGTTCAGCCTGTACGCTCACTCCCACGAGGGCTTTGGCATGAACGACGCCTTTGATCGATCTGTGCTTTGGCTGATTGAGAAGCAGAGAGAGGAGGGGAGAGGGGAGCAGGCGGAAGGAGCGAGAGAGGTGGTGAGAGGGGAGGTGGAGAGAGGCGGAGAAGGGGGAGAGGAGCAGAGCAGGGCGGAGGAGGTGGGGGGTGTGGGGGAGAGAGGAACAGAGAGGTTATTGGTTGGGACTGGGATGGAAGCGGCTAACGGTGGGATGACACGTGTCGCCCATCCGTGCCTCCATGCAGGATACAGCACAATCCACACCGCGAGGAGAAAACTGGCTGCTGCTGACGTGGAAGCGGCAGCAGTGGCTGGGGCAGCAGTGGCTGGGGCAGCAGGGGAAAATCCCACCAATCGGACCATCTCGGGCAGACAAGAAACCACGGTTGAAAAGGTCAAGGTGGAGGTCTTCGGGCAGCCCAACTGGAAAAAATGCATGGCGCTCTCCCGCGATGTGGTGGCATCAGGGGTGAAAGGCGTGAGGGGAACAGGAGCAGCAACAGCAGCAGCAGCGGCAGCAACCACTGCAGTGTGTGGTACGGCAAGGGAAGGAGCGGACCCCCTCCCTGTGCGTTGGGCGTCCACCAGCCGCCATTCAAGGGGCCATTCTCTGCTCTGGCAGGATTCTATGTCGTGTCCCTCTTCTTTGGCGTTTTCCAACTGCAGCCGCTGCAGCAACAGCAACAGCAGCAGCAACTGCCAACAGAATCCCAGCAGCAGCAGCAGGGACAGCAGCAGGAGCAGGAATCTGATCTTCCAAAACCCCAGACAACCTCACAGGGGCTCGGGCAGACCTTAAGGGGTTCTATGGGCAGGCAAAGAGGTGCCGCAGGGCAGGCCGGGCAGCTGGATTTTTTCGCCGACGGGCAGATGGCCGCGCCCATTTCCCCTGGCAACACGTCAGCTGCCCTGGATGCAATTTTGGCCCGCGGGCAGGCGTACTGTTTCAGGCCGTGGCTGGAAGTCGAGGCAAAGTGGGGCGGGATAAAAGGTTTCGAGCAGAACTGTTTCCGGGCAGCTTATGTGGTTACTCTGTTGAGGGAAGGGCTGGGGATAAAGGACTCGCAGGTGGATCTAGGGGGGGCTTCATCTGGGCAGGTGTCTTGGACTCTTGGCGCGGCTTTGTATGAAGGGGCTCCTGCTGTTGCTGCACTTGCTTCCTCCTCTGCTGCTGCTGCTGCTGCTGGTGGTGGTCGTGGTGCCAATAACAGCTCTGGAGACGTGGTTTGGAAGCTTGGGGATGTAGGCTCGGAGCAGGTTGCAGAAGAGGGGCTCGGTGGTGTGGATATGGAGCGACGTGAAGGTGAAGCAACGAGCGCAAGCAGTGAAATCAACAGCGGTGGCAGCAGCAGCAGCAGCAGCAGCAGCAGCAGCAGCAGCAGCAGCAGCAGCAGCAGCAGCAGCATTAGGAGGAGTTGGTGGTGGTGGAGTGGCGAGGAACACGATGAAACAGCCTGGGGTAAAAGGCATGCCAATCGCCGTTTCCTCGGGACCTTCCCTGCAGCTTCCTCCACCTCCACTGCCCTCCCAGCAGCAGCGAAGGAGCGGGCAGCAGAGACGCGGGCAGCAGAGGAGAGGGCAGCAGCAGCGGTGGCAGGAGCGAGTGTGAGTGGTGCACAACAGGCCAGTGACAGTAGCACGAGCCTTGTCCTCCTCTTTTTCGCTGTCTTCTCTGTTGCTCTGGCACTCACTGCAGCGCACAGGAGAGGGAGGCGAAGCAGGCACGCAGCAGGAATGGGCATGGGAGTGGTTGCAGGGGTTGCCTTGAGGTGGTTGCATCAGGCACGCAGGCTGCTGCCTTGGACTCCCTCTGCTCAGAGAAGACCCTCTGCCTCTTGGCAGTCGCCCTCCAAGCCTCGCTCTGGTGAGGTCCGTAGTCCGCTCCTCCCTCTCTCTTTTCGCTCCCCTGTTTTGCTTCCCCTCTACTTCGTGACTAAAGTCACCCCGAGTCGACTCGAGTCGACTCAAAAGTCACCTCGAGTCAACTCAAAAGTCACCTCGAGTCGACTCAAAAGTCACCTCGAGTCGA